ATTTAAAGAAAATAATAAAGAAAATATTCATAAGCAGTAGGAGGGGTTTTTCCTCTGAATAAAGAATTTGTGGATCTGGAAAATAGTAATTCAATAATGTCATATAAAATAATAATGTGATATTGACTAGAGACCAAACAAGATTGAATCCAAGTGACTTTAATATGTAATGTAGAATATGGTAACTAAAATATAATACATAAAGCATATGTACATTAGATATGACATATATGAAAAATAGTTAACAAAATACATTAAACAGCATATAAATGCATGTATCTTAGTTACATAATAAACCATGTTTGTACTGAAATTTTATTGATCTGCTACTCAGATTTTTAAAAGGTACTTTCTTCAGATTTCTTCCCTATTCTTGAACTTAGGTTTGCACAAATCCTTTTTTTAAGTGTGTGTGTGTGTACACACTTATTTTATATATAAATATATAGCTAACATGCATATACATTTTCAATCCAGGACTTTTAGTCTTTTCCTTAAGTAGAAGTCAGAATATGTAACATTTTTCTCTCTTAAATATTCATCATTTTACCTGCAACTTTATTGTGCAAGTAAAATGGTATTGTGCGTCCTGTGCATTTGCTGTAAAGTGTAAGTATTTCCAATATCCTGCCACGAAATACTCCAGCTTACTTAGAAAAATGGAATATTGTGAGTGAAGCCAANACAGGTGCAGTGAGGGATGGGGACACAGGTGCTGTGAGGGATGGGGACACAGGTGCAGTGAGGGACAGGGGACACAGGTGCTGTGAGGGATGGGGACACAGGTGCTGTGAGGGACAGGGGACACAGGTGCTGTGAGGGACAGGGGACACAGGTGCAGTGAGGGATGGGGACACAGGTGCAGTGAGGGATGGGGACACAGGTGCAGTGAGGGATGGGGACACAGGTGCAGTGAGGGATGGGGACACAGGTGCTGTGAGGGATGGGGACACAGGTGCTGTGAGGGATGGGGACACAGGTGCTGTGAGGGATGGGGACACAGATGCAGTGAGGGATGGGGACACAGGTGCTGTGAGGGACAGGGGACACAGGTGCTGTGAGGGATGGGGACACAGGTGCTGTGAGGGACAGGGGACACAGGTGCTGTGAGGGATGGGGACACAGGTGCTGTGAGGGATGGGGACACAGGTGCTGTGAGGGACAGGGGACACAGATGCAGTGAGGGACAGGGGACACAGGTGCAGTGAGGGATGGGGACACAGGTGCAGCACAAGCTGCTCAGCTGGAAACAGCTGGGGCTGTTTGTTTGTAGGAATTGTGTGACAGAGGCTGGAGCTGTTTGTGTGTGATGAGGTGAGTGATCCGTGGGTGGCAGTCACACATGTGAGAGAGCAGAGCAGGGTTCTGCAGCTTCAGGTGAGTGCTCCAGCCCCCCTTGGCCTGTGCCAACAGGTGTTCAGCCAGAAAGTACCGAAGAGCACCAGGGGTTGTTATCTGGCACATCCCTAGCACACTGCCCGGTGTGTTTCGTGGTGTTTTGTTAATTTCTGCAATTCCAGCAACATGCCTTTCTTTGTTCCATGTCTGTTAAATAAGGTGCTCCTTCATAATGCCTCATCAATTGTGTTCATTTTCATTATCATTCCCTTCCTCATTACTCATGATGCACCTTCTAAGGGACCCCGTGATAGGAACATAAGGTTAGTACTTTATGGGTGAGTACTTTCTTGCATTTGAGCACTGTTGCATTTCAGATTGTGCCAGCTTTCAATATATTGGTGTTCCATCATGGAAAAACTAAGCTCCTTCCTTCCCTTTCTGCAATTTTCTACTTAGGAGCATTAATGCAATGTTACAATTATGCTAACATTAAGCAAATTGTTAAAAGGACTTAAAAAGTCCTTGTAATTGAGTGACAGATACTTATGACTGAATCCATGCTCAATATAAGACAATCAGGATAAGATTACAGTATTTTGATCTTGATATTCTGATTCTCCCAGTGCAGATTGATTGATTGATTGATTGATAAGTCAGGTTGTCCTACACAGAGGAGAAGAATTAGAGAAGGAGTGAATTTTGCTTCTATAAGCCTTTGATATAGGTTGGGGATTTAAAGAAAATAATAAAGAAAATATTCATAAGCAGTAGGAGGGGTTTTTCCTCTGAATAAAGAATTTGTGGATCTGGAAAATAGTAATTCAATAATGTCATATAAAATAATAATGTGATATTGACTAGAGACCAAACAAGATTGAATCCAAGTGACTTTAATATGTAATGTAGAATATGGTAACTAAAATATAATACATAAAGCATATGTACATTAGATATGACATATATGAAAAATAGTTAACAAAATACATTAAACAGCATATAAATGCATGTATCTTAGTTACATAATAAACCATGTTTGTACTGAAATTTTATTGATCTGCTACTCAGATTTTTAAAAGGTACTTTCTTCAGATTTCTTCCCTATTCTTGAACTTAAGTTTGCACAAATCCTTTTTTTAAGTGTGTGTGTACACACTTATATATAAATATATAGCTAACATGCATATACATTTTCAATCCAGGACTTTTAGTCTTTTCCTTAAGTAGAAGTCAGAATATGTAACATTTTTCTCTCTTAAATATTCATCATTTTACCTGCAACTTTATTGTGCAAGTAAAATGGTATTGTGCGTCCTGTGCATTTGCTGTAAAGTGTAAGTATTTCCAATATCCTGCCACCAAATACTCCAGCTTACTTAGAAAAATGGAATATTGTGAGTGAAGCCAAGAGCAGCTCTGGGACTTGTGTCTAAGTTCCCGTCCCTTACATCTGACTGGGATTCCTGACTGACATTTTAATACCTTGCTTTTAGAAGGAACACCTGTCTGACAACTCATATGGGCCTGGCATTTCTTCCTACATTTATCTCAGACATTTTTACTAGTGTGAGGTTATTTGCATTGCAGTTTTTTAAAGGGGTGAATGCTCTCTCCACTCATAGCAGAACTGTGGGTTTGTTCAGGGTACTCAGTTTTTGTTACCTGGCTTTTGTGCTGGGACCTAAAAAAATACCTCTGAAATTCCACTGAACTCTGCATTAAAAGAAGGAATGCCAAGAACTGATGCCTTGAGAAGAGTATAGTTTTTTTAAAAATAAATTTTCCAGAACAATGTTTTTACATTCTAATGAACCATAAGATTAAGGGAGGGGGGAAAAGCCTTTTTTCCTTTTTGGAGGTTGTCTTCAGCATGATGGTATAGTTCTTTTAATTATTATTCTGATCTTTGTCTGGATACAACTGGTCACTGCTTCCATTCTTGCCAAAACAGGACAAGAAGTAGGTGAACAGTTTCATACAAGCTGCTCTGAAGTTTTGTACCCACAAAAATATCAAAAAGTTTTCATATTTTATCTTAATTTTCTGTTATAGCCATTGAAAAGTTAAAAAATCCATCTAACAGCAAATGCAGGCTGAAGAAAGCTGTTCTCACAGCTACATGCTGCATGAGAAATTGAATATATGCAGTGAATATTTAACATTCACATTAATTTCACCAGACTTTCTTCATTTGTTAAAGAGGTTTTGCTTGGGTGATATAACAAGTTTAAATTAAAGATTCTCCCTTAAACTCATGTACAGCCAGTCTTAGTAAATTCCTTATTTAATGTGGCCTTGAGGAGGGGAATTTTCTGCTGGCTCTTTCAATGGAGATTGATTAAGCCCCAAAGATTTTTAAGCTTTCCCCAGCATTGCATCAGCAGCCATGCAGCTCCACAGGGAGAGCTAGAACAGACTACCCACAAGCATTTTCTCCATGGTGTGGAATGCAGCTTCACTTTTGTTCTTTTGGCAGCATGGACTGAACCCAGAACCTTTGAAGGTCAGAGTGCGAGTGTGAGGAGGCTGCACTGCAAGATCACTGCCCTGGACTTCAGCAGAGCAGACTTTGGCTCTTAAGGGATCTGCTTGGTAGAATACCATGGGATAAAGCCCTGGAGAGAAGAGGGGTCCAAGAAAGCTGGTTGATACTCAAGGATCGTCTCCTCCAAACTCGGGAGAAATGCATCCCAAAAAAAGAGGAAATGAGGTAAAAAAGCCAGGAAGCCTGCGTGGATGAACAAGAAGCTCCTGAACAAGCACAAAAAATAAGTCAGTGAGGATGGAGGAAAGAACAGGTAGTCTGGTATACACAGAAATTGTGTATATACACAGGAATACACAGAAATTGTTCTCTCCAGCATCGTCCAAGCAGACAGGGATGAGGTGAGGAAAGCTAAAGCCCTGATAGAATTAAATCTGGTCAGGGACATGAAGGGCACCAATAATAGCTTCCATACTTATGTGGCTGATTGGAAAGAAAGATTAGGGAAACTATGAGCCATGTCTGGAAGGAAACATTAGACCTGGTTACTCAGGTTACAGAGAAGGCTGTGTTACTCACTTTTTTTTCCACTGGTTTTCACCAACAAGTGCTCCAGCCACACTGGCTGGGTCACAGAAGGCAAAGGCAGGGCCTGGGGAAATGAAGAGCTGTGCACTGTAGAAGATCAGGTTCAAGTACATCTAAGGGACCTGAAGGTGCAAAGGCCTGTGGAATCTGATGAGATGCATTTGCAGGTCCTGAGGGAAGTGGTGGATGAAGTGGCTGAGCCACTACCAATCATATTTGAGCAGTCACAGCAGTCCAGTGAAATTCCCAATGACTGGAAAAGGGGAAACACAACCCCCATCCCTAAAAAGGGAAAAAAGGAAGACCTGGAGAACTACAGACCAATCGGTCTCACCTCTGTGCCCAGCAAGGTCATGGGCACAGATCCTTGTGGAAACTGTGCTAAGGCACATGGAAAACATGGAAGTGATTGGGACAGCCAACATGCCTTCACTGAGGGCAAATAATGCCTGGAAAGTTTGGTGGTGTTACAGCATTAATGGACAAGGGGACAGCAACTCACATGTACATGGATCTGTGCAAAGCATTTGACACTGTCCCACGTGACATCCTTGGACTCCCAGAGAGTGGAGGGACCACTCAGTGGATAAGGAAGGAGCTGGATGGTCACACTCAAAGTGTTGTGGTCAACAGCTTGATGTCCAGTTGGAGAGTGACAAGTGACATTCCTACAGGGCTTTGGGACTGCCCCTGTTTAATGTGGACAGTGGGACCAAGCGCACCCCAACAAGTTTGCTGGTGACACCAAGAAACGTGGAGCAGTCAGCATGCTGGATGGAAGGGATGCCATCCAGAGGGACCTGGACAGGCTATTGATGTCAATGCTGGACATGGGTAAGAGCAGCAAAAGTCCATCTGTCTTGTCTGTGTCTGTTCCCTCTGGTGTGCAGACAGCAGCAGGGAGTGGCTAGCTGTTACACATGAGCTGGGCTTAGAGAGAGAAGAGCAGCAACAGCAGGAGAAAGACACCAGTTTGGGAGGTAAATAAAGTCAGGCAAATCGTTTGTTGCTCTGTGCCTGTAGTGTGGGATAAATAACAGTCTCCTTTGAAACACTGCCTCCTTTGCTATGTGGAGGCAAGATGACATTTTTCTTTCTTTCTTTGTTGTCCTCCATGAAGTCAGTTATTCAACCTAAAATCCAGGGATGAGTGTGCTACAAGGATGAGAAATTCTGCCTGTGTTCCCTCGAGGTTCTGGGCTCTTTATTACAAGAGATGCTGGTGAGCTGAAGGCGGTGAAGGAGGCTACTGTGGTAATTGCAAAAGGAAAGGAATCACTTGTGTGAGGAACAACTAGTTTTTGTACAGATTGTCTGTTGCTGGAATATTTAGCCCTATGTTTATTATTATTTGGTTAGCTCAATTCTGATGTGTCACTTAGTGTTTTAGGGAAAAATGCCTGTATGACAAACTCATTGGTGTTTTGTAGGTTAAATGGCAACTTTGAAGCTATCTTCAGAAATACTGTTGTGTGCCATGAAAGAGGGTCTTAAATGCTTATAATCTGTATTTTCAGGAGATACTTGTGGTAAAATGACTGCATTCTCAAAGTTAATTTGGGAGTCTTGGGGTGCTGGAGAGAGAAGCTCTCCTCTTCGTAAGTGTCAGGTAATACTGAGAAAGCTCCGTAGCTAGGGGATGTAATTTCACTTTATAGCTTCATAGTCCTGCTACATCATGTGTTTTAAAAGCCAGATTCTGCAAAATGCAAACATCTCTTAAATACTGTGGTTATATATTCTTTACATTATTAATGATCAAAGGTAGAAATTAACTTTTGATATCAAAATTCAGGCATCTAATCTAAGGTATTTTTCCCTAGCTGCAGTTTCCAGCCTCATGTCCTTTTTCCTCATTTCCCCATGACAACAAATCTCAGGGCAAAGATAATGCCCCTAAATACTGTCCAGTGCAGGAGGCTGTAAAGATCTCTACAAGCACACCATATGGCCACAGGGGAACATTTAATCATCAGGTTTCATCTACAAAGCATAGTTGTTTTTTTTTCAATTTATTCTCAAAATATGAGAGCCAAGACCAGATTTGAACTGAGGTATGAAAATGACTGTTCTGTTAAACTCCAAGAATGCCACAAGAAACTGAAAACTGGCTTAACAGTGTCTCTTATCTAGTACTTTGAGAACTATTCAATTAGAAAAGGAAGACTCTATATGAGGTTAAACACAGCTGTTATCATGGATATTAAAAACATGTTTTCTCTCATTTAAAATGGAATCAAATAATTTATATTTTTGATGGTGATTTTTACATAGAACTCATTATTCTATTCACACTTTCTGCTGTGATAAACACGTGTCTTTGGACAATATAGGGCATACTATATTCTGCTTCCTTATATTTTTGTTTGTTTAAAAAATACCTTTTCCAAGGCAGTAAATCTTACCATACCAGTGTAATCTGCAGTCTAGAACCTGGTGGCTTGGTTGACATAAAATATATAAAGCTTTTCTCTAAAATTAAAGAAAAATTAGTACAACAGAAAGCAATTTTACCTCTTCATAACAGCTTCCCATATGAAAGCTCATTCTGCACGTGCCTGTGTTTTAAAAATATAGGGATTTTTTCAATTGTTGTGTGGCACAATATGACATATATACTATCATTTTTTTCTTAAACCTTATCATGGAATGAATTTTTTCAAAATCCTACTGAACTTGGATTTGGTTTGTTTTTAAAAAAGAGTTTTAGTTACCAGCCATCTGCAACTATGGCTTCAGGGGTGTGTGGTTGTCCAGAACTCCTAATTGTGCCTGTCATTCCAACAGACTGGCATTATTTTCTACTGCAGCACTTCTGGTCAGATCTCCAGAGAGAAATCCTTGTTGATTCTGGTCTTGGTACAACGTCATGGAGCTGTCATGCTATGCTGTGTTTTGAGGGTGCATCCATATCTACAAATGGATTCTTCAGTGTTGCACCTGCAATATAAGCAAAAACAATTTAAATGTTCACGTGTTTGTTCCAGGTTTTTATTTAAAATATATTGGCAAGTGAAGGAAGGAAAATAACTAAAACCAGAAATAAAAACTAGCTGTCACCAGAAGGTAACCAGAGTCAGATTAGCTATGACATAAGAATTTCCTGTTGTTTAGACAAACTAGTCAAGAGTAACTTGTCAACTGTGTACCATATGCCATCTGCATCTTCCTGCAAGTGTTTTTTCAGCAGGAGTTTTGTCATTAGGCATCTGAATTTTCATGAGATAAGTAAAGCAATCCACAAAACCCTCACTATTTCTAAAAAGGTGGTCACAGTTTTTTTGTGATTCATTCCAGTGATGCAGTGTAATGGTTTCCCGGTCTTTTTGCAGAGGAACCTCACTTAAAGAACTGAAGGTGGAAAGCTACAATCAGTTTTGTTTTGCTTTTATATTGTCTTAATAATCTAATATTTAATATAATTTAATATTTTCATTTCCCCTCCTACCCAGCCCACACCTCTCAGCTTTCCCTTTCTTGGTTGTTGTCCTGTTCTTTTCCTCTGACATATCTGTCTCTGCTGCTGTCACAGGCAGCAGTGGCACTAAAACACAGCAAATGCATTTGGACAGCTCAATCTGTTTCTGGTGTCATTTGTGTCCTCTTGCAGGCACTGAGAGCTCATCTAAATGGCTCATCATGGGTTGGAAGTCACTAATGTAAAGAAGTCCAGGTTGAATGAGGCAGTAGAGGAAAGAATATGCCTACTCCTCCTCTGGGTCTTGTTAAGCACCTGCCTAAGGTACTCCTAAAAAATCTGATCAGCTCAGCAGAGTCAGACCTCTCTGGTGTATTGGCTCTCCTGGATGCAGTTCAAGGTATGGCTCCTGCTGCACTCTTGATTCCCTTTGTGAGGAGCAGGCACCAGAGCTGTGACTGGGCAGGCAGTGGGGGGCAGCCTGCCTGATGATGTACAGGGGGGAACTTTGTCACCAAAGCCATCTCTGTGTCAGCAGGAGCTCGCCCTTACCCAATTCTCAGTGAAAGCTCTGAAGCATGTAAAATAGGCCTTAGAAATTCAACTGATAAAAGTCACCCCAGAAACCAGAAAAAATTTAAAATGTGCTTAGAGGTGGCTTACTTAAATCAAAACCAGTAATTGTCCCCTAACTATCTTTACATTTCATGTAACTGGAAATATTAATATAAGACATCTTTAAGCTCATTCAGTACTCAAGGCGTTATTCTTACTCAGAAACTGATGCTCAGGGCCTCCTGTACACAAGCAGTGTCCCTGGGCAGCAGCAGAAATGACTCTCCATTTGTGCCCGAAGTGCTGGGAATAGCTGCATTCCTGCCTGCTCTGCTGACCCAGGCACGCTTCCCAAACAAGGAGGAGGCCTAATCCTTTGAGAATCCCAAACACAAATACTGCAGTGGTATTTGGCAGGCCAGCACAGGAATTTGTGATACTCGTGAGCTTGCTATAGTTTGTTTTCCTTGATGTGGAGGCTGTTTTTCCACGGGTTAGAAGGCACTGCTGGAGCAGTTTCGCCCTCTGGCACGGATTTTCCCTGCGGAGCCCAAGCACTGACTGGTGGAGCACTGACCCCTCCTTGTGGGGCTGCTGGGTCCGAGCTGCAGCACTTCTACATCATAGATGGTGTAATACATGTAATTGATTCCTGCTAACTAAATTGTAACTGTTATTGAAGTTGTTATTAGAAAGTATCAAGAATCAGTGTTATAAAGCAGATATATAACATCCCCTTTGCAGATGTTACATGTCAAAATTGAGGTACAGGATGTAGTTTAGAAGATAAATGGTGTCTCAGGACCAAAACAGCCTTGAGATGGACAAAATTAGAATGAATTTAGGCATTGGTCCTAAAGGTTAGTAAATATAAGGCTAATTAGTAGACTAACATAACACAACACTTAGTACACACATGCAAACCAAAGGACAACGAGGAAGAGGAGAAGCCTTCACCAAAAGACCCCAAAATAAGACTGAAGACCCCCTAAGAACAAGTGAAGCATGTGCCGTGAAGAAAAGTGATGTAAAGTCAGAAAAATCAGAAATAGGAAGAAACTTACAGCAAACATTAATGAATATGTATAAGCACACAGTATATAAGTTCAGCTTGAAGTGCTTTGTTTTGTACATGAGGTGGGGTGAGAAGCCCTCCCCGTACCCCAGTCGGTTTTGCTTATGCCTTAACCATCCTTAATTACTGGCCAACTATGTTCACATATATATATAAATATATATCTGAATATATCTACTCAATTTTACCTTTCTTTACTAAATTATCTACTTTTACTAAATTGCATTTTTTAATTATTTTGTATCCAATTTATTAAAGTATATTATCAATTAATTAGATTTGATTGTTTGGAAATTTGAAAATCATTTATAACAATGTGTTTTGTGACTGGGCTTTCCATGGCAGGATGGATGAGGCCTGGACGACTGCAGTGAGGAGTTTATCAGGTAGACTCACAAGTTGTACAATTTCTACAATTTTTTGCTTAGAGAAAGAGTTTCTTTGCCATGCCAAAATCATTCAGGGTGCTTGCCAAAAGCGAGGGGGTTTGCACCTGAAAGTCCCCATGTAACCTGAATGTTGGCAGCTCCTGAAAAAATCAAAGAGGTTTCGAATATGCCTGGACAAATAATATGAAAATCTGCTAAATGCAAAGACCTTCTTCAACTGTTTGGATTGCTGTGCTTCCTTCTGTTGAATGTACTCTGCAAAGCTCCCAGAGTGTGCCCTGTCATCAGAAACGTGTTTCTGCCAGTTTGTTAAAGCAATGTCATTTGCAGATCTCTAAAGCTCCATCTGCTGTGAAAAATATGCCAAAGCTCTGTCACCCTGGTGAAATAAACAAGTGTCATCCATTTTACAATGAAGTAAGTAAAAAACACAAGGTGGTCATGTGGTTATTCAAAATACTAGATGTCATCATCATAGTTGGTAAAGGACAAGGAATTTCTTAATGTGCATTCTTTGCCCTGGGACATGCTGCTTGACAGCCCAGAGGACAAGGACAGCAGACAGTGCAATAATGGCTCTGGTAGCAATTGTGAGAAATGTCTGCCGTGCAGATCTTACCTAACCTCAATTGCAGCGAACTCAACACTCTGGCTGTAATCACTGAAAGTCTGAAAGCATCTGGGAGCATCTGGGCCTTCACAAGAATACAGAAAGGATTTTGACAGTGCAGCGCTCTGTATTCACATGTCCTGTTTGCAGCTGTGTCCCTGGGCACAGGTCTGCATCGCTCTGGTCTCAGAAAGTCCAGCCTGAAGGATTTGAGGGATGTGCCGGTGTCCTGTGCCATGCAGCAGTGTCAGCTGGTGGGCACGAGGTGGCACAGCAGAACAGCAGCAGGGGGAAGAGGAGCTGAGGGCTGCAGCAGGCTCATGGGTAGGTGTGGTAGCTGAATTCTCAGGTCCTGAGTTTGTGTCTGGCAATTGCAGCCTGTAACTTCCGATACCATCATCCCCACTAAGTCCAGTTCTCTCACAGAACACCTGACTCTTTAGTATTTCCTAGGCAGCAGCACAGTCATTTCATCTGCAGATTCCCTAGAGTTCATGAGTGAATATCAGCTCAGTCAGATTCCCTAGAGTTCATGAGTGAATATCAGCTCAGTCAGATTCCCTAGAGTTCATGAGTGAATATCAGCTCAGTCCTTACTGACATTATTAAATGACTCAGTTCCCAAGCTGGTCCTCTTTTATGATGAAGTTTTCACGACATCTCCACTCTACCTGCAAATTAAAACTGTGTGATAGACCCAGTGATGTTCCAACTCCCAGTTCCTTGCTCCTACATTCACATTTGATGTTTTTTCTCCTTTTTCCTCATGTGATTTTTATCAGTTTAATTTTTAATCCTCATTGTACATACTTTGAACACTCGGCCCTTAAGGCCAGAAAGAATGTTTTGCAAGATCAATTGCTTGTGTGCCTAAGGAAATCTGTTTTAAAAATATTTGATGTAGCCTTTGCTAGAGAGAAGAGTGTCTTGGGAGTTATTAATGCCAAGAGCAAGTTAGAATGTAGGGCCACTGTCCCCCTAAGGGCTTGGGATGCAGAATCTTGCATTGTAAGATTTCTCCTTCTCTCATCTGGGACAAAGATACGCCAGATGTCAGCCTGAGAATCAAGAGTGATTGGATAAGTGAACGTGAATCTATGGACTCTCCAAGCTGGAGAAAAGCCTGCTGATTGCAGCTGAAGAGGAACAGGAGAAGCTGATTCTAAGTCAAGAAGTCAGGCCTGGAAGCTCAGTAACATCAGTTAAGAATAAAGACTTCAGTGCCCCCACCTCTGCCCCACCACCACAGCC